ATATCATCTTAATCTGGCCACTGATCTCACCTAATGAAGATGATCTCTTGATCTGTAATCTGTACAAAGTGGTGCTGAATCACTGGGGAGAGCAGAAACAGTCGCATTTAATTGTGAGAGAATTCCTCAGATTTTTGTAGGAAAAAAAGCAGATAAAAGCTCAGCTGATTAGTAAAGGGTCTTTGCACATGGAGCAGAAACCATGTTGGCAGTAACCATGTACTGCTATTAGCTGCCCCTAACCACTTCCAGCATTCACTGGGCAGAATCAGTGAGAACGAAATGCCAGAGTGTCTGCCCATCCTTGCAGCTGCACAGCCACTGTGAATGCACAGCGCTTATTACTGAGCCTGAATGATGGAGCAAGGAGCAAGCTGGAGCCTGAAAGCACATCCACCTTCTCTGGTCCTCCTCTTTTAACCTGTGCACCCAACAAACTTATCATCTCTAGCAGGAACGCCCCTGCATGGCATGCTGGAAAGTGAATGAAAGCAGCTGCTCTGCACCTGGGACTGCAATCTTGGCAGATCTCATGTGTTGTTTAATAATTTTGCATAGATCAACAGTTTTTGAATAGTGCACACTTCATTCAGTACAGCAGGTTTTTAAATTCTCATTGTACATTTATGGATCATTGCACCTTTTCTAAGCCACAGCAATTGTCTCTATTGTTAAACCAAAATGTTAATGTCTTCCATGCTGTCCTTCCCTCTAGTTCAGTGCATTTCAATGGGGGTTAAAAGGTAAAAGCACTCCAAAACTTCAAATAGGCACTGACATCATTAGAAGCTACACTTAGTCCCATCTCCCTCCTCCTGCTTCTCCTCATCAGTAAACAGTGACATCTAGAGAGAAATGAAGCTTCTTTAATAAGACAATAGAGTGTCACTAATTCTGGTGTGCTAATTGCTGCTGAGCTTGTATTGAAATGATCTCATGTCCACGTAGAGCCCTGTGCAGCCGTGTGACTGATCATCCCCTCCAGAAGCCTATTGCACCCACCATCACGTTTCTGTGCTCTGTTGCTCATGCAGCTCTTCCATTTGCCATGCAGTTTTCCAAATCTTTGGTTCCATGGACAAAGGATCTCCCTTTCATTCTAGCTTCCAGCTGCCCATCACTACACTTCAGAGCATAAATCACAGTTTGTATTTTGTACCAGTGTCATAAGTAGTCTTCAGAATGGGCCCAATCTGGCAAATGGAGTTATGGATGTTACTGTCTGCATCTGACAACTAGAGATGTAGAACCTGGGAAATCTCTCAGGCCCATCTTGACCCGTGAAAGCTGGTAGATGGGAGAAACTTTCATTGTAATGATATTTCTAAGTATAGCTATTGGAGTGCAGTGAATCATGCTGTTTGTGTATCGTTTATATGTGACATTATTACTCACTGCTAAGATGAAAAGCAAACACATACAGTGCATTGGGGAATACTTGATTTAAACTCTTGCTTTTGTTTCTAAGTAGGAAACAAACTTCAGAACAGATCTCGAGGGATTCTCACGGCCAACCCTTGTATCTAAAACTATGGCAGCTTTTCCACAGAATAGTATTTGGAGAACTGATTTGCCAATAAAAACAAATTCATGTGAAGAGACTGTTTCAAAAATGACACCTCCAAGACTACTCTGCGCGTGTCTAAAATTAAAAGGAAATAATATTTCTGCTTTCATTAGTTCCAATTTCAGCACTGTGTCCTTTGCCTCCCTTCACGCTGTCTATTCTGAATCTACCATTTGCCTCCAATTGCTTGGAGACAGTATCTGTAGACCCCACTGCACAATGAGCTGGGGCACAAGGAAGCAGAACTATTTTCAGAGTTAACTGCATAGAGAAATGCCTTGTGTGCAAGAGGTTGAATTGCATGCTTTGTCAGAAGCCTCGCACTGCATCCGATGCTTTGTTAACACCATGGAAAACCTTTTATTTTTACTGTGCGTTAATTAATGTGTCGTGACATAAAGCACCAAAACAAGAAGTCTGACATTTTCTAGGCTGACTACTATCAAGCAAAACTCTGAATTTAAATAAAAACAGCTTTGCTGAGCTGAAAAAGGCTTGGGAAAACCCTTTGTTTCTCTGTCTCCAGACATAAAGTCATAAGCCCTATCTTCCCACCCTGTTGTTGGCTGAGGAAAGACTCCAGCAATGCAAAGAGTGGAGCCAGGGAGGCACTGTGCTCACCAACAGAGGAGGAGGACATCAGACCCATTGCCCTTGTGCTCGTTTCTCATACAGGAAATCAAATTCCTCAGGCTAATGGCAAAATAAAAATCTCACAGCATAAGGGCTAGGAGTAGCACAGCAAGTCCTTCCTCCTGGGCAGACAACACCAAGATAGCAGAAAAGGTGGACAAGAAGGCATTCAAGGAATATCACAAAATTAGCATTTTAAGATAATTAGGTGAGCTATAGCAAGTTGGGCTTTGCTGTTCAAAAATGGAACAGTTGCTCACTGGTTAACAAACAAGGATTTGGGCTGCTTTCTGTCACATCTGTCTCTCCGTCTCCCTGTGCAACGAATGACCTGTGAGCTGAGGATGAAGTGCAAGATTTTCATCAAAACCTTGATGGAAAGCTGTAAAAATTAACCACACGGCAAGCTGATTTGTTTTCCTGACAGTTCCCATCCCCTCTGTTTCACCTGTTCCCCCAATGAGTGTATAAACCTGCACTGACCCTTACAGGAATGCTTTCCCAATTACTCTTTGGATTGCCAGCGCTTGATGAGGCTGTGAGAGGCAGCGCAGGGCAAACGGTGCTTCTCACAATTACATGTGGGGATTGCAGCCAACCACCTGCTTCAAAGCCCGGAGAGGTTAATTGCAGCCCTCTGTCTCCTGTCCTGCCCCTGTACTTCTACAGCTCAGTTAGATGTACGGATGTATACTTCCTCTTGGGCTGTATATATGTGAATGGATGGCTGTCTGGATGCAATCTGTGAAATGTGTAAGCCAAGCCTGATGATATTTTTACAGCTTAAAATATAAGCCAATATCATTGGCTTACACATTTCACAGATTAAAGTCCATCTTTCTGTTCCCCAGTTCAGAGCCTCACCTGCTTGCTGACAAAAATCCAAGGACCTTTTAAGCCACTACAAAGAGTAATCTAAAATATTAGCCGCTGTCTTGTCAGGTATTAGTTATTCCCTCGATCAGGCCTTGATGTTTATCCCTCCCTCTTTGGGTTTTCTTAATTATTTCTGCCTTGTTTTAATTCTCAGAAAACTCCCTAGATGTGGGCTTTATGATTTAGAATCTCAACTGCTCATTCAATTAATGGGCTTGATTAACGTGCTTAAACTTCCCAGAGACACTTGTGACACATCATGAGGGGGAAACAAGGATTCTGAGTATGCTCCATCTCATTTGTGATACTCCTGAGACTGGAATCCATTAGAAGCTCTTTTATCAGATAGATAGAGTTTATTTTTCATATTTAAATTTCTTTTTTTTTTTTTTTTAAATTCTTGTATTTATTTATTCAGCATTGGTGTGGAAGGATTATTCTTTCCAAGAGTGACTTAGGTTCCTGTGCTCCTTTCCTTGTAACTTGGTTTACTTTGCAAAAAAATGATTTTAGCTTCAGTATGTTGATTAGATTCTGACTAGCTGACATGCAAATGGCATAAGTGGAGGTGCAGCTCTTTCACTTTATGTAGGAGTATCATATATGGAGAGAAAACCATCACATAGTGAACTTTCCTAACCAGGCTGTAAGATATTAGGATATTCTGTGCTTCTGTGAACTCCATGTAACTGGAATCTAACCCCTCCTTCAGCCAGTATCCCTTCATATCTTCGTCTGTTGACGCAGTGCACAATTCTGGTGGTAGGTGGCTGGTTGGACTAAATGATCTGAGAGGCCTTTTCCAGCCTTAATGATTCTGTGATTCTATATCAGAGCCTCAGTACAACGCAATGCAGAACAGTCCTGATGAGAGAACGGGGCCCATTTCAGTGACAGAACCACCTCGTGTGACCCACAGCTCTGCTTCCAAGCAGAGTGAAGATGTGTAATGAATACACATACATAGGCATGTATCTACACATGTATATGCATGAATATGGATATATATAAACTCAATATGTTAATCTCAATGTATGCGTGGTCTAAAAGTGTCCATATACACACACACACGAGAATATAAAAAACATGCCTTATCAAGAAGTTCCATCCTTCCTGGATGCAAGTCAAATGCTATGCCAGATTCCTTATATAATTTCATATAATGACACACAGCAACTATGAATACATTTTACCAAAACAATTACAGAGAAGTTCTAAAAATTAATGCTTCTGCTGCACTTCTGCTCACAAGCCATACGGGGAGCTTCTGTCTTTCAGTATTACAGTGCTCAAGGAAAAAGAAAAGGATTCTATTTTATGGTTCTGAGTCAGTCTTTTTCTTACTAACATATGGCCCCATTTTTCCAGGTTCTTTAAGCAAGTTGTAAACGTAAACTTTGATGCATATGGAGTTTGATTCATGAAGAGTTTAATTTGCCTAGTATAAAAGATTCACGTAGGTTATATAACATCATTAAATTATTTTTGTAGTTTGAGTAGGCTCCATTGAGGAAGGCAAAACTGTTTCCCTGGCGTCCATTTATCACTGTTTGCTACTAATTAGAAAACTGAAAATACAATATGCATGATTCGCATTATCTGCGTTGTCTTTGGACTGATGCATTGTTCCTTGTGCTTCCCCAGGAACTTTTATTCATTTCTCAATTAATCTTTTTTTTTTTTTTTTTTTTTTTTTTTAAGGTTTCTGACAGATGTGACTCCATCTTCGTTAATGGCAAGGAAATGAAAAGCAAAGTGGATACTATTGTTAACTTCACTTATGAGCATTTTACCACCCAATTAGAAGTGACGGTCTGGGTTCCGCGGCTGCCGCTGCAGATTGAGATCTCTGATACAGAGCTCAGCCAGATCAAAGGCTGGAGGATACCCGTCACCTCCAATAAGAGGTAAGCTTACAGCATTAGCACCATCCTGAGCCTCTGGTTTTGGAACGCTTCAAATTTGTAGTTTCTCAGAATCTCAACTCTCCTGTTTGAAATGAGATCTGTACTCTCTCTTTGCCTTCATTCCAGTGCCCAACAACGATGTGAGTAGGCTGCATTTTACCCTGACCTGTATAGTTTAAATGTCAGCAGCTGTGCTTGGAGCAGTAATCAATTCCACACAATCTCAGGAAATTGTATCACAAACTCCAGTGTGCAAATCTGACAAAAAGAACCTGGACCTCTTGCAGCCCCATCTAGTTTTAGTGTGTGTGATGTTCGGCACTACCAGTGCTGATTTCTGTGTACGTGGCTGAATAAAAGAAGGCAAGGGAGGAGTCAGGCATTGGGTTACTGAGCACACACAGCACTTGGATGTTGCACAAGACCAAGTCAGCCTCTGCTCTGCAGGACTCAGCCTGGGCACAGCTCAGGGGACAGCTTACACCAGAAACCAAAGGGCACCACACAGATCCAGAGGACGTGCACATCTCGGTGTGGCATACAGAAATAGCCATTCATCGTGAACTCAGCAGTCTGCCATAGCACTAGAGAGGGAAATGTGAGCCTCAGGAAAGAAAATCCAGATATTTTGAGGCTGTTTGGTTTTAAGAACGGTCAGAGTTTCTGATTTTGCTTTCCTGTAGTCACTTGAGTGCTGGCTTCACCATCGTGTTGGGAGGCTACTGTTCAGCCCACTCCTGCGTAGTGTGAGGCATAATTTTATGCAAAATACTTAAATTTCATAAAAATTGAGAGACTTGAAGCCTGGAAAAAGCGTAGCTCCTTCTTTTTCCTTAGCATAACTTGGGATTTCCAAATTCTAAAGCAGCAGCAAAAGTACACTTTGCACAATTACTCTGGATTATGTGCTAGACACCTTTTTACAAATGAATGTATGGGAACTGTTGAGTCCCAGCCTGAAGCACTGATTGAGCACCTGGGTGCACAGCTGAAGCAATTCAGCAGTGTGATAGGAAGGGGTGGAGCCTGGCTGCGCCTCTCTTAGACCCCATTTAAGGGCCAACTGCTACTGGGGAAGGATCTCTGGATGGAGATCCCTTCTTTCTGGAGTCTTTCTTGTGAGCTTAGATCTTCAGGGACAGGTGAGCACCTTTTCTTTTCCTTTGTAACACCATTCCATTCATATTAGTCCCTTTGCTTTGTACTGCTGTTTCACCCTTCTACTGTGTTGACCTTTCTGATTGTAACAATGAGTACTATTTGATATTAATAAATTTAGAGCAGAATAATGGCTTCTTAACAGTGATTTTCAAGACCTGCTTTGACCATATTTCAGGTCTCTGCAGACTCTCGCTGTCCCATACAGTTTTGCACTGTAGCAGGTTAGGCACAGTACATTTCAAAACCAGCATGCTTTTGAAGGCAAAACCAAAACTGACTTGAAGGCAAAATTTCCATGCGATCAGCAGTCTCACAGAGAGGCAGATGGAACAGCTTGGGAACATGTGAAATCTTGCAGATGGCAAAAAGGTGCAAGAAGGACCAACAGGGCTCTGAATGACTTTTCAACCCCTGTACAGCAGCCTTGGGTGAAGCACCACTTAACAGATCTGAATTGGGCAAAAAAAATCAACAAACAAAACCCATGCTCCTATAGAAGACTATCCTGATATGAACAGATTCTACCAGGACGCAGATTGAAAACAATGACGACAATAAGCACACGTGGATTCTAAGCTCTGTTCTCTTATCCTTCCCTACTGAAAATATCCATTCTCATAGAATAATCATTTGGACAACTTGTTAGATTAATAACTTCCAGGAATGCTGCTATATTTGGTGGATTTCAGGAGAAGTTGAAAAATGGTACAGGGCACCAAAGCATGACACCAAATCACATTTATAATACAGTGGAAAAGCATTTCTGGCAGCAGTACCAGGAGTTCTAAACCTGTAGCAGTTCTAAGTAAAGCACAGGGTTTGCCCAGGAGAACTTCTCAGCTACTGGAGAGCCTTACAGAGCCTGGACAGACTGCAGCAGAGGAGAATTATCTAACGCTTTATGAGAGCATAAAACTCAGGGTAATAATATAGAAAACGTACAAGAAACTCAGGTAATGAGCTCAGAAGAAAGAGACTGCCATTCCTCTTGGCTATGTGGATGTTTTTTCCAGCTCTAACAGAAGAATACACAATGAGGATCTGCCGCAGAAGAAATGCGTGCTTGCTTCAGTGATAAAGGCCAAGTTGCTGTTTGTGGAAGGAGGAGATGTGCGAGGCAGTGAATGAACACACGCCAGCTGCTTACAGCCTCACTAAACTTACCTCCTGCATGCAGTGTGCCTGATACTGTAACACCTCCTTAGGCACAACTCCTACCAAAGCCAGTGGGGATTTTGCTGAGTAAATGGCTGCAGGATGAGGCTGTTGGTGTTTATTGCAAGAGTAAACTTCCAGCAGAAAGCTCAGCAAGTTAGACTTTCAACTGTGGTTAACAGTCGTGGACATTCTGACTTTAAATCCATTATACAGAGTGCTGGAAATTTACCCCCTGGTGCCTAGTTCTGATTTATTTGGCCAGCTGAAATAAAGACATGGTCTGAGAGCCTGCTCTGTTTGCAAGCTGTGGAAGTGTGTGCTGATGCTCACACTGCATCTGAACTGCTGGCACGGCTCTGGCAGGCATTTGCTGTCAAGGGTGGGAGTAGAGACTTTCTTGTACCATTCCCCAGAACTGCAGCTGGTAGTTTATGACATGCATGTCAGCAATCCGTGCACTTATGAGCTGGAAATAATGTACCCCTTATTTTATGCAATGTTCATTTGTTTTCTTTTTGTGTTTTTAAACTTTGTGGGAATATTATAAATCAACAAGCAGCCCAGGACTAGCATTAGTTTTGCTCAGTCTGCTATTTGCTTTGTACCTAAGGTTTTTACATTTCTTTTATTTTTAGATCTGGCTGGATTTTTAGCTGAGATTTAATGGCTTTTCATCTGTTATTTTTTGGATTTTTCTCTTTGATTTTCAACCTACCTTATTCCTCCATCTCTGTCATAAGTGCTTTCTTTCCTAATGCTCTGAGCGACGGGAGGAAGAGCAGATGGAAGTGAGCTACGTGGGTGTGGTGAAGGGTCCTTGAGCCAGCATGGGCTCACAGAAATACTCCTGCTTGTAATGGGCTGCAGAGAAGCTCACAGTTGTAGCAAACAGAAGGTGTATGTTTAAATTAAAGTCAAATATTGGAGTGGAGAAGAGGTCCAGCCAGTCTAACAGGGACGTTTACTTTGATTCCTCACGCATCTGAAAAATAATTATCCTCTTCCTGAAGCTCCTGCACTAGTTCTATGCCCAGTACATTTTTATATGTGATGAATGGCTCTAACTTGTGTTAATAGGAACTGCATGGCTAAAGCCTCACAGAACAAGCTAGAAATTTAATTTAAGCACATATCTGCAACTGGAATAGCACTTTGTTTTTGTGAGGCTCCCAGGGAAACAGACATCACACAGCAGGACTCCAGCATATGCTTCAGTGTCAGGCACATGGTGTGTTGGACTTGTACCAGCATCTGGTCACTGAGCAGGAGCTAATAAAGCCTTTACTCGATCACGGTGACTGGAACCTTCACATCACATAAACCTCTACGACCTGCTTAAGCCAGACATGGCAGTGCTTGTGAGTGGCACTCTGAACATACGGTTAATTTGGTGGTCTGGTCTCATACTGGAGACAGACCCAGGGAAGTTAGCTGGAGTTTAACAAAGGGAAAAGAAGTGCCTAACTAAGCCGTGTTGTGACCTGGAAATGAAACCATCCTTTTAATGAGAATCAAGTGAGACTGGATTCAAACCATTTCATTTGTGAATGATAACATCTGCACGAAGCTTGAACGCACTATAAATTCACACTTCCATTAACTGAGTTTAAAGCCCTGTGGAGATAAGGCCACAGTGGCTTTTGTTCAAAGGCAGGCTGCATTTTCAGGACTTGCAGAGGTATCAGCTTCTCTTCTTGAGCTTTGAGTGGAGCTGTGTACAACTTCTACCATCTTCCACTAAATCAGCTTCCAGTGGTTTGAGTTTTGTACTGAAATAGATTTATTTTGTTTCAGCTGGGAGTGTTGCATGTGCTTTTTAAATAGATGTGTCTTCTCAATGGGTATTTCAAACTTAAAACCAGCAAAACTGATCTCGTTGGGTTTTTTTTTAAACAGAGAATTAGCATCTGGCCCAAGAACTTGATGCCTGGTTTGCGAGTGGTGCAAATTAAAAGGGACACATTTAAACTGCTTGAAGGCCGTGTCTGGAATGTGAAACTGACAGGTCACTGATTAGATCAGTGCTAGCAGGCACCCTCGCAACAGGGCTGCTGCTTTAACTCGGCTCTCTAGCAAAAGCTTTTCTGTGTGAAATGTAAATGACATGTAATTCTGGCAACCTTGCTTTGCTCCAGAAAATTAAAAATAATAATAATAAAGAAGTCTTCCAAACAAGGTTGAAAAGCAGCAAGAAATTGGATAATAAGGATTCTGAGCAAGTTCCAGAGCTAACCTCGGAGATGACCAAGGGGAAAGAAAAGCAAAATAAGCAGCAATAGCTCATATTCATGAGGACGTGTCTTAAAAAGAAAAGGAGCTTGAGGAGGGAAGGATTTTAATCCTACTGAAAACACTGGAACAAGAAATTTAAGACTTTAAAGGGAACTATGCGATTCAGTAGATTTCAAACATTTCGTTGGGTCTGTGGAGACAGAACACTCAAATGCTCTTATAAACTGAATTGGGGATTTGTGGCTTTGAAGTGGAAATGGATATCATTTATTTAAAAAAAAAAAAAAAAGGAGAGAGAACCTGAGTTGGTACCTGGTAAAGCAGAGTTGCAAAGCGTGTACTGAAAACTCAAACACCTCTATTTTTCCTTTGCACTGATGAATGTGCCTTGCCCAGTCCGTGACTTAAGGATGCTCTTCTACTGTTCCACATTTGCATGTACAGATATCAACAGCTATAAATATTTCTATAGGGGAACCAGAACCCTTACCTTTGTCTGCTTCAGATAATACATAGAAATATGTGGGCTTGGATCATCTTTTAGTAGCACTGGCTGCCCAGAAAATCTGAAGCCTCATAACCCAGCAGTAATGCTCCCCATCTGCTCTTTCACTATGCTCCTTAACTCCTGGTCTTGCTGCCCACAGTGTGATGCTCAAATTTGTCTGAAATGTGTTTCCTCCTGAACAGTCTACTGGTCTCAAGTTTTAGACAGTGAAATTAAAAATAAATCAGCACCAAAGGAAATGTGAATAGCAGAAACACTTTGGATCTGACTGAGCAAAACATCTGCTGGTATAAAGGTAAAGAGAAAACAGAGCGGTGTAAGAAAATGAGTCATTGTGGATGTTGAACATGTGAACAGTTCTCTCCACATCACAGAATGGTGGTTCTGTGATATCTTTTCCCACAAGAAAATTGATTCCCAGTGATTCTGCAGCTTTTTTTTTCCCCCAAATCTGGCAAGTATTTCTCACCTGAACGGCTCCTGCACGTTCTTCTCTAGTTCTGCACAGGTATTAATAGTACTGTCAAAAAGCAGGGTTAAAGATCCGCATCTTGGGGGCTTGGTTTTCTCAAAACTTGTGATTATTCAGGGCTGGGTTACAGTCTAGATGAGCTAAAGAGCATTAGAATACAGGAATAATGTGGAAGTGGGAACCTTAAGGAGTTTATGAACTCTTTTACAGCATTATAAAGCCAAAATACATCCAAATAGGTCAGGAAAACTCTATCAACATCCTTTGAGTGCTGCCTCTGTGGCTGTTTTGCTGACTAGCTGTGTCAGCTCGTGGTCCAGTTTGAAACTCAGGCTGGGAAAGAGAGAACAACTGAAAATTTCCCTTGGCTACTCAGCTGGTCTCCTTTCTTTGTGCAGTGTAAATCCTATCTTAAGATCCTCTTTTGTTATAAAAATTCGTTGGTGTTTCATTCAGTGACTAATGATGAACACTGCTGTTTTACACGCATGAAACCAAAAGGGCTGTACCAAATGCTGCTTATTTCAGGCTGAATATTTACGTATATCCACCTAACAAATGATGCATTGAGAACGTATTTCTAGTGAATGAGATTCTGTAACACCAGGACTTTATAGCGTTTTGAAGAGTGCAGGGGCTTTTCTTAGATACATTTTCAGCTTACAGTTTGCCAACTTTGTCATAAAACAATTTATAACAAAAGCAATTCTGTTTTATAATAGTTTTTCATAGCTGGTATTTCAAAAAGGAAGATAAAGGACCACAGTAAACACAAAACTACTTCCCAAAATACTGTGAAAAATAAGAGGCTTACCCAGTATTTCACATCCTTGCTATAAAGTCACTTCAGCTTCAATAAATGAGCAAAAGAGAAAGGCAAAATATTTCTGAACAATAAATTCCACAGTGTGAGGGCATAACGAGTAAAAATTTGACCACCTAGGACTTAATGCCTGACTTGCAGCAGATAAGAAAATCCATGTGTTTGCCCCAAGGAATGAATAACAACAACAAAGAATTTATGGGAAACTGAGTTTTAAACTAGAGAAAACTGTGAGATGTGACCAGCTCTAATACCATGTACAAATCACTGATAAAAGGTTTATGTAAAACTGTGATGTTGATACAAGTTATATTTTGCACGGGGGACAAAGCAGGTAGAAAACATTAATGGAAGTGTGCCTAATGCTGTACCTATTCCTAAGGGTGAGTCTCACCAGTCTGGGATGATGTTTGTAGAGCACCATAATGGATAATGTCATAATTTAAGTGCCTAAATTGGGCTTTTTGAAGTTCACTGTGGTCTTTGCTTTTCTAAATGTAGCAGTTGCATGAACTATGTGAGGTTCTCAAACACAGTAGGATGAGGTGGAGCAGCATTTTGAGGAGATGAGGAATGTGATACCGATGCTATGAGCAAGGGTGGAGGAAGGGATGCTAAACTGTTCCCACTCTGCTGAGCTTTCTGCAGGGGTTTGTTCCCAAATGGCCCTCTCATGAATCTTTCACACTGCTTTCCTTAGCACTACAAGATTTGGCTGCCAAACGATGGTAAGGAGAGCAATGGTGGATCCTCTGAAACATCAGCACCAACAGCCATGTTTGCAGGTTGCTGGGCAGTCCTGCTCTAACAAAGAACTAACTGCTTTGATGTCAGCTTTTAAATTTTACGGCACAAAAATCTGCGTATAGAAGTGTAACACTCAGACTTAAGTGTTCTTCCAAAATCTGGTTACCTGTTTCTCAAGCAGTAATAGTTGACACTAACCTTAATCTAATTGAAAATATTGTGCAAATGGAGCTCCGCAGTGTTGTGTGGAGATTGTGGCAATTCATTAAACATAAATATGTTATAAATATGTTTACAGGCCTACCCGTGACAGTGAGGATGAAGAAGATGATGAGAAAAAAGGAAGAGGTTGCACTCTTCAGTATCAGCATGCCATGGTGCGAGTCCTCACACAGTTTGTAGCCGAATCCTCTGAGTTTGGAGGCTACCTGACCTATATGCTAGGCTCTGAGTGGCAGTTTGACATCACTGACCTTGTGACTGATTTCATGAAGGTGGAAGATCCCAGGATTGCTAAGCTTCAAGATGGCCGAGTTCTGGTGGGTCGGGAGCATGGCATCACCACAGTCCAGGTACTGCCACAGGTGTCACTGCAGCTTTAGTAAAAGCCTAAAAAGAAGTTGGAACAGGTTTTCATTTTTGCTATTTGTCACCTCCATGCAATACTTCTAGGTGAAATTTTGGAAGAGTTGTATTTGCTAAGGACTAAGGAATACAGTGGGATTTTATGAATAGTGAAGGTTACATCATCCATACAGCCAGCTTCTTTTTAAATTGGGACCTTATTAACTTAGTGGTTAGAAAGATTTACCTAAGATTTACCAGCATTTTTACGTGCCTAGATGTCTTTGAAAAACTGGTCCCTAAACATTCACAATGAAATGAAACACAAAAAGTAGACACAAAAACAATCTTCAGAAATGTTTCAGTGTTCGTGCTCACCCATTTATCTTAATTCAGATTTTTAAATCAAAATAAAGGAATGCAAGCATTGAGGATAAACTGTAAGCACTCATAATGTTCCAGTCATGCTAAATTTCCTTAGTAGTCAGCGCACAGAAACAGCTCAGTTCCTGTCAGCCTAAAACAAACAACACGGAGAAGGCAAGGGATTTCTGCCCTTGAAGTACTTCTTTCTCCCCAGTGACTGTAGCAGTGCAGAAGGCAGCCAGCTCAGATGCAGGTATCTATAACATAGATATCTGATGTTATGTTAGATGACTTACATGTCAAATATTCGGGGCTTGATCCAGCTGACTCGGGAATCAATTGAGAGATGATTTATCTCCTTATGAGTATCTCAGATACAAGGTCTTAGAGCAAACTGACAGGACTGTTTTGGCACAAGAAAGTTGAAGATGGGCACCCATTGGGATTTTTCAAAATCCATTTTGCAAATCTCTCACTTCGTTGAGGTCCTCTGTTCTCACAAAGGCACCAGGGCATGTTCCCATTGCACGTTCCCATTGCTCAGCCTTGTGCACTAATCCTTAACGAGTTTCAGCAGTAACTGGTTTCTTACATGGTATCTTGGGCTGCACTGCGTTCATTGGAAACGTTATAGACAATGCAAAATTGACATTTTGTTAAACAAATCTGTTTAATTTAAACCATGCTCCGTAGTTGAGATGAGGTGGCCATTTTTGAAGTGTTATGATGTTTTATTAAATTGTAAATATAATAATTCAGTAGCAAATGAGTCCAACCTCTTGGGGGAAACACGAATTACAGTTCATACATAAATGTGACAAACTTGAGGTTAACCAAAGTGTTGTGCTGAGGAGACTAATGATGCTTTCTAACACAGTTGCTGTTTCATGACTGGCTTTCCTTTTCTCTTTCAAGGTTCTCTCACCTCTTTCTGATTCCATCTTGGCAGAGAAGACAGTGGTAGTTCTAGATGACCGTGTAACTATTACAGATCTAGGAGTACAACTAGTTTCAGGCTTGTCCCTCTCCTTACAAACCAGCAAAGGAAATAAGAGAGCTATTGTATCCACCACCTCTGCGTATGATATCCTTCATACACCAAAACAGGTATGTAATGGAGTATGTAGCATGAGAAATTACAAAGGTTTTGGATGAGACCACTGAATAAAGTATCTTACATATTTTTCACTATATTTATATAGAATTGATGCCCTGTGACAGAAGAAAAAGTACAACTATTATTTTCACACTAGCCGTTTGCATTAAGACAAATTATTTTCATTGAAATCTTCCTAAACGTGGGGGGGATTGCAGCGTTTCTTGTAGTTCCCATAAAGAACTGCAATCACTTTTGTGTATTTAATGTAGTTGTGTGTATTTGAAAGCATGATAGAACATTTAAAATACTGCACCGAGCTGTTTTCTTAACCTAGTTTGTTTCAGCAGACTGAATGGGATCACCATTCCAGTCTGTAACCACTCCACATGTTGTACTAAATATAGCATTGAAACTGCAGCATTACAGAGATTTCCCATTATAAGGCACTTGTAAAATTAATTAACCAGGACTTTGAAAATACAATTATTTTCATAGCAGAGCTCCATTATTCCAAGATGGAGTCTTGCTTAAGACTTAAAGACTTTTTTTTTGTAATTTTTCTTAAAGTTAGATGACTGCTGTCTGATAGTTCCTAAAGATGAGATAAATGCCTAATGGCCTAGAGAACTCAAAACTGCAAGAGGAGAATGGGAAGCAGAGTAGACATTTTCATTTTTTTCTTTGAAAAACTAGATAAACCAAAACCACACTGTGTATTTATTTAGCTGCTGTCAAACAAACAACTGAGCACCACCAGTGCGCTTGCTTACATTTCACACACCATTTTTCTAATCCTCTTTTCCCTGCAGGAAGCCATAGTCAGTGCTTGGATTTTGTTCAGTGATGGGTCAGTGACACCGTTAGATATTTATGACTCCAAGGATTTCTCAATCACCATCACTTCACTGGATGAGATGGTAGTATCTGTACACCAGAATCTACAGTCTAAATGGCCTGGGGTAGTGGCAGAAGGGGATGGTCAAGGACCTCTAATTAAAATTGAAATGGTCATCAGTGAACCATGTCAGAAGACAAAGCGAAAGAGCATTCTGGCTGTTGGAAAGGGAAACGTCAAAGTGAAGTTTGGTCAAAAAGATTCTGACCAAAAAGAGAGCACCAATGACATTGATGATACAGATAAAGATTTTAAAAGCCATGCAAGCAATTCCATAGAAAAAACTGCAGAACAAGAGAGGACAGCACAAGAATGGTCCAAAAATGGAGTCCTTAGTAATCATGAGGACAATGCAAACAAAAGCACAACTTTCATATCTCCCATTGATCAGGAGTCCCTGGAGGATGACCAGCTCCAAAATAACCCAACTGCCTTCACAGGTTTTCCTGCCCAAGTAGAAATACCAGGAGAGAACAATCCCAGTGATCTCACATTGACTTCAAGAGGATTAACAGATTTAGAGATCGGCATGTATGCCCTGCTGTGTGTTTTCTGCTTAGCAATCTTGGTCTTTTTGATTAACTGTGTGGCATTTGCTTGGAAATACAGGCATAAAAGGTTTGCTGTGAGTGAGCAAGGCAACATCCCCCATTCCCATGATTGGGTCTGGCTTGGAAATGAGGTTGAACTGCTGGAGAACCCAGTTGACATTTCACTCCCATCGGAGGAGTGCACTACCATGATTGACAGAGGAATGCAGTTTGAAGAAAGCAACTTCCTCCTTAATGGGAGTTCTCAGAAGACTCTTCATAATCATATCCTCAGATCTTCTGAGTACCTTTGTGAAAAAGAAGTTAAAAGTGAACCTATAAATCCTTCTGGGCCAAAGCAGAAGCGAGTGAAGTTCACTTCCTATACAACAATACTGCCGGAGGATGGAGGCCCCTACACCAACTCAATTCTATTTGACAGTGATGATAATATTAAATGGGTATGCCAAGATATGAATCTTGGTGATTCCAAGGAACTTAGGGACTATATGGAAAGACTGCAAGACAATATGTAAAACTACTTTCTTATGTTTGTAATCACCTTTATGCCTTCTGTTTATGGATGGTGGAGCAGTCAGTCCAGTCAGCAATAGGAACAAGACAGTTCAACCTTGGAGTTACTGAGATGATAATCTGGCATCACTGAGCAGGTACAAGAGGCTGGCTGAGTTAAACCTGTTTCACCACAAACCAGGATGTGCCCCTAAAGCAGCTACCTGTAGGTGTTGAAGGTGTCACACATGATGGCTGTTTTTGTATACTGCCTGGTACTAGCAAAATGCTAATACAACTACGCTCAGACTCAGAGGAGACTTCATTTGTTTGTCATCTCTCATGATAAATGGTAAACCAGAAAAGAAAGGGATCTTTGTTTGCATTGATTTTTCTAGTCGTCATTCTTTGTAAAGCACAGTGGACATTTCTTGCTTACAGCCTGAAACAAGGCTTATATTAAAAGGGATATGAATGAATCTAATCTTATTGCCTACGTGCAATGCAGCCAAGTAGTCTTACTGTTTTTTACACATATAAAAAACCCCATGTGGTTAATTTCCTTTTGTATTGTTTATGAATTTTATTTGACTGAGGGAACGTTATTTCCATTGATCTTTTTTTGTTTCTGTTGTACCAAAGTGAAGTACAGTAATATTTATAACAATTTAGGTTTTCCACTCATCGGCATCAGCTCCTAGAGATACCTCCTTCATCACTGATTATCTTCCTTCTTTCCATGTGAGTATATGGGTCATTAGAAACATAGAAAGGTGTTAGAACTCTTACTGGGAAAGGGTTTTATCTTACAGGGAACTGTAAATACAATAATAAACAACACTGGAATATGAAAATCAAGGAGCAACTCCGGGTTTACTTTCGTCATTGCTTACATGAAAAGGTAACCTGCAACCAAACAGCACATACTTCAAAGGCAAACACAGCAGCTTCATTGACAGTACACATTATCAGAAGGAGAAAGCCAAATATGGTACTGAAATGCATAGAATAGGAAGGAGATGTCCTAGCAAAGAAGCAAAGGCTTGGAGTCAGTGTTACACATTACTAATAAATTAATACACTGATGGTAGAGTTTAGCAGGACATCAGATTATGCCCCAGACACCCACTAAGCCATCACTGCCCATAAGGCTGCTAAAAAGAAAACACACAAATAACCTACATTAAGTCATTTTTCATTAAAAAGGGAGCAGGAAAGAAAAGGCCCACTGGGCACATTATAAAGTGACTATTTGCAGCTGTAACAAGGAACACATGCTGAAGGTTCAAAGCTGCCCTTGCACAGGTATTACATGCATATTTGTGTGGAAGAGTAACTGAAATATGTTGAAAATTACATTTAGAAAAAAGCTGAAGCTACATAATGCTAAAAAAAACAACACACAATAAAGCACAGGTTCTTCTGATGGATAAGGTCCAAACTATGACAGCCTTACATACTGTTGTTCCCACATTTCAAGATAAAACCTTGATTTTATAATTCTGTTCTGATATTAGAACAGACCAGATAACCTTTACTCCAGCAAATTATGCATTTGGATCCTAATCCACCACTGGGAACATGTTTAGTATAACTACTGCAAAATACTAGAATTTAAATAGGGAGACTACAAAGCAAAATGAGGACACCAGGCTTATGAAAGTGATTAAAGACTTTTGCTTGCTGGCATTGAACTGCATAGTCAGGGAAAAGCATCTGTTATAATCCAATTTTAAGCAGATAAAGTACCAAACCACCACGATGCTTCCATTTGATAAGGGATGCAGTACTTGTACTGAAGTGAAATCTCAGAGTGTCTAACAAATGTTTCCCTCCTCTTTAAATGCTCCAGATCTCACGAGGAACCATTAATTCCTTCTATGATCCTTGTTAATAAGAACAGGGGAAAAAAAAAAATCCCTTTTTAAGATTTAGCATCTCTTCCAACATGCTCTTATCTGAGAGTGCCTCGCAGTGATTAACCTTGTCCTGATACCCAGCCTGCTCCCACCCTGTGTAAATCAATCACCAATAAACCTAAACTAGACATGAGACAGCATGGCGATGGTACTTGAGCAGGACAAACAGCATTGCTCTTTTCATGAATGCATACCCAGCAGCTTACCTGTGCAACCAGGATCTTGTATGCACTGTGCTCAGCTCTGTAACCCACTTCAGTGTGGCCACAGTTCTGCCAACTGCATCAGCAGATGCTGAACTCTGGCCCTGGTCACTATGGCACACTGAATGGAGAGACCTACAGCTGTGCTCATTTGCTTTTCTCAATCTTTACTACATAACAGAAATCAACAGCTACTTCTAAACTGGAAGGAAAAGAATTTAGATGAATATAGTAGGTATGAAGCAAGTCCTGGTTTGAAGTGCAGTACTTTAAAAATGAAATATCTCATGTTTTACTATCAAAATAACATACCTTGAATGTAAATTTAATTTTAAATAATTCAAAACAAGTGAAATCATTTTCAGATGCACCTATTTTTTTTTTTTTTTTTCCCAGGGAGTCAAAGCTCTTCTTTATTTAAAAAAAGAATGAAAAAGGTCTTTTATTCATGGAATATATCATATTCTGCTGTGAAATGAACAGCAGCTGTAGGTTAATAAAAGAGCCTCTGGTTCTGAGATTATTGAGCAGAGGAAGTCAGGTGATTAAAAGGCATGATATGTAAGCATGCAAGGAACTAGAATTGGCTAAAAAAGAAAACAAACTATACAGATTAATTAGAATTGTGCTTCAGTAGCTGCCCAGGGAAGCAACACCTGTAATCTAATGCTGAATAAACACAACATCTTATTTATAGCATACAGAGAGAAGGCACAGTAGGCGAGTTTCTCTGCCTGATATCTAGAAAAGACAATATGTAGTATCAATGCAAATAGAAGGAACAATTCAGCATGCAAAGAGAGGGTTAATGAAAAATAGGGAGTTTGTGAACTGTAAAAACAGAGCTGATGCCAGACCCTCAGCTCTTGTAAAGCAGAGCTGAGGCACCGATGCCAGCTGAAAGCTGGCATTCAGAGAACACAGAAGAGCTCGTGGTTTTCATCTGTTTGGAACTTCCTTCATTCGAACATCACACACAGCCTAGCTCCATGTGGCTTGTCTATGCATTCTTTCTCATTTAATAAGAATTAAGGAAACGAGTGCCCTGCTCTCCTCTTGATGTAGAACCAGAGTAATGTTTGAGCTGCTGTTTCTTAATTCATACTGGGGAATGTACAAGAAAATCCTACAGCCATATGACGCAGTACAAACAGTCCATGATAGAATGGAAAAAAAACAAAACCTGTATTTCAAGGTAGAGTACCCTATGAATGAAATACCATTTTTTCATAGAGGAAATGCTCTTTTCTGAAATATATCATGTGCACTACATTGAAATACACTATAGTGTATTGTGAAATGCATACATTAACTGCTGAATCTATAACACTGAATATGTATATACATCACACCCAAGATGTTTATACGATATAATAAGTCTTAGATGTATAACATAATGAATTCTGTACAAAATAAACTGTAAGTTAAGACAATGAAAGACAACTTTTATATCTGTGTAATTTGTATGCTAAGTTATTCAAGCCTCAGTTTTCATCTTTAAATGTGCCCTTAAAACAACCACGTTGATTTTCTATAGGCAGATGTCTGAAATAAAGACTTCACTCTTCAGAAAAGAAGCAATTGAAAGACTGTGAAAAAGACACAGGTTCTTCTGGAGAAATAAACATACTGCTGATGTGATTTTTTTAAAACCGACTCTAAGGCATTTTCCATTTGTACTGATTGAGGTGATCTACTGGTTGGGTTGAGGGTGATGTGCCCTGGAGTGCAAACAGCAAATAGTGACGTGCCCAACTGCCAACTGTTGGGTGCCTCCCTGCTTAAAACACCATGAATTACAGATTATATCTGGGGGTTTCACTCACTCTTCCCTGCAAAGCGGTGCAGCCATCTCTTTCTGCAGTAAGTGATCCTTCCTCAGCAAAAAAAGGGCCAGAGATCATGAAGAACGTAATGATCATTAGATGACCAATGTCTTGCAAAGTACAATAAAAAGCTAACAAACTTAACCTGTCCCTTTAGCTCTCTGTTGTGAACAGATTTTGCTTCACTGTTATTAATTTCCTTCTAGGATGTTCCCATGAGAATCACAGAGCCTCAAAATTATTAGTCCTTAGCTGTTTTCAAGTGGACCACAGCTGAGATCCAGTTGTACAAACTCACGGCAAACCTGTTGGCTGCTTTTGTGTTAATAGGGGCAATTTAACATCACCTGAATAATTTAAGGATCACTGTTGTCATTTCTAGCTTATAGAAATCTGTTGTTATACAAAGCCAATTGAATGAATAGATTGAGTGCTGATTTAGAAAGTACCTCAGAGAAACAATTTTAATGTGTGTTGGGCACAGATTCCACTGTCACCACTTAGTATTCTCAACTGTAAAATAAGAAGCATGTATTGTAAATGACACTTTTTTTAAACCAGTGATATTTGGTCTGTAACTGACCCACACTATGACCTTTCTCCCTGGTAGCATCTTAGTGAAGAGATTTCCAGTACATCTACACACACCACAGTGCCACTGAAGCTATCAGACTACGAGCCTATATAGACAAGAGTCAGTCACCTCTTTTAAACAATCACAGGAGAAAATTTTAACTACCCACGTGTATATGCCATATAACTGAAAATAATTACCTGCATTCATTTAAGAAAATAGAAGAGGCCAAGAAATACACTTTTTTTCTTCCAAAAAATCAAGCTCTTGGAATTTGGCAGGCAAGAGTTCACGGTGCTGTGTGTCACAGATGAAATAGGTCAGATCCTGAAGGCTGTCTCAGCTGAAACTCCCCCTGGCCTTGTTAGGAGATGGGCTATGACAGGAAGAAGCAGAGATGGACAATTACCCAGCAAGTCTGAGAGGTGGGATGCAGCCTCATAGCAACTAGCACTGGATGCTGCTGTTTGCAGTCAGTAACACCTCTAGCTTGTAGCAAACAGAACAAGTGGTCGTGCTCAGAGTTTGCACAACTGATGACACATGGCACTGTGTAGTATCCATAAAGAATAGAGAGATTGTTTTGCTAAAGTGGAGCAAGCTGCAAAATTAACTAGTCTTTTAAGTCTACACCCTGCCATGACATTCCTTTTAGTGTAGCAGTACATTTCTGTTTGTTTCTGTTCCAGTGATGCGTTTGGGCAGAACTTGCAGAAGTCAGGTGATGAGGGAATAAAGCCGAGCTGTATTCTTGATAGAGCCAGCTTAGTCATGAAACTGCACCAAGGTGAGCGAGCTCTGAGACTCCTCAAATGTGTAATGCTGTTACTTACTTCCAAAAGCACACCTATTGGATTAAGGATTTATAAACTAATATGGATAAGGGCTTATATCATTCCTTCTGATAATCTCGGGTTATTCTTATTAAAAAAATCAATGGGATCTGATGATATAAAACCCAAGTAATGAGCTCAAGATTTAGTGGAAATAAACAGTGGATATTTTTAATCCTACAATTTAAAGCTGTGGTGAGGAGAGCAGAATACACTCTGATGCCTCAATATGATCTCTAGGAAGATTTTTAAAAAATAAGTAGACTTCAAAAAACATTCACTAAAAAACATAGCATGAACAAAGTTTGGTCCTACTGAAATATACGACTGCTCAAAAGCATTCATTTCCAACTAAGTCTGCCTCTCTAATTTACACACGTTACAAATAATGATGCCATTTCATAGTGTATTTACACAGAAATCTTATCCATTCATTATTTCCTGGGTCCACATACCCTGCTGGCAGGCATTATGGGATGCTGTAAATAAAATATAAACTCGGCGCCGTGGAATCGCTATGATTTCAGACCCAGTCAGGAATTCCCAGTATTTTGTGCAATGCTGGTGGCCAGACCAAGGCCTGCAAAATTGGGTCGGCCCAAGCCTGACCCTGTCTGGCATGCAGATACATGAGGTGGTTGCATCTTCTTTAAAAAGAATAACCCCAGAGTGAAAGCTTACCTTCTTCACTAAATCTCAAGGAGGCATTACTGTTTGTTGTAAATTAGCAACTTTTTTTAAACACTCTGAAGCGTTTTACATATATAAATAGGTGCCACTTACACTGCAGGCTATAAATCAATCTTTCGCTTGAGGTAGAATTAATTTCGACAAGTACTTCACTTTATTTCCAATAGATAGATTGGGAGTGCTTTATTTTCACAGTTTAATTCAATTTTGAATAAGCTGAGCGTTCAGAGCCAAAAACCAGACAGGATGAGAATCCATACACAGCCACCTGGCTAGTGCAAGGAAATAAACCACAGCAGGGATATCTTTGTCTAGCAGTAATTAAGACTTTGTCCAAACATTTGCCCTTGGTATATATAAACTGCATATAGGTGTCCATTTTAATCCCAGGTAAACATTCTAGTTGCATTATGCTAAATATGTATGTACTGTAAGTGCACACATATGGCAGCATCACTGATATCCTGCTGATTGCACAGAACTGACACGTATAAATGAAAACATTGTGAAATCTTTTTCTAAATCTAAAATGCTAGGTCACTTCCTAAGGCCTAATTTGTGAAGACAGGTTACAGGAAGCTATTTTCTGGAGGAGTTCAGCAAGGACCAAAGAGGCTGGGATAGAGCAGGATATTAAAAAAATACACAGAATTAAAGAACTTTAACCAAAGACAGATGATGTTAATGAGGAGCTTTCCACTGATGTCAGCTAGGATCCCCACTCACTCACTCTGCAGCAAGCACAAAAGGCTATTTTCAGTAGTTGTTTTTAATTTAAGAGTAAGAAGACACTGGCATTGCTCCTGTCCTCACATGTTACAGGTATCTGCACACAGAGAAATGGAAGAGGACTGCACAAGTAGGAAGCAGGAGCACCTGCAACCTCTGAACAGTAAGAGGGCTCAGCAGGAGTGGGGGAAATCAGAGAGCTCACTCAGCTCTCAGCTTGTTTCTTGGTTTTTGCCAGAGGAGCCCTCTACTGATTTTCCTTTAGCACCCTGTGGCATAAAGGCAATGGCCACTATGTTGGTTACCCAGCAAGTTAGCAAAGGGACATTTTGACAAGGCTGCTCATGCAGGGCTCAGAGCAATTCAGCCTTCTTTGAAGAAATATCTACCTGGAGATCTGCTACACCAGCTCACAGTAAAGGCCACCTATGTTGACATCCTATTAAAGTCCACAACCACAATAAGATGGTTCAGCAAACGTTGAGAAAACCTACAGCATGGATGTCTGCAGTAACAACTCTGTTAGGCCAACATGCAGAATGCCTGGCCAATACCACAAGCACTGGCTGGGGTTTAATACAACAAATGCTCCATAATATAAAAACATGGAAGTATATACACCTATTTAGGTACAAGGTTACGTGGTTACTGGAAATAAAAGTAGCTCCTCTGTCTGGTGTATTTGTAAATATGGTGTATGGTGCCTACACTGATTCATATTAGTTCCAGCCCAGTGCAGAACTCCTTTTCTGGCTTTCAGCCATCTCTAATGCCTCATTTTAACTTTGCAATCTAACTTTGCTGTAAAAGGACCAAAGCACGCATCACCAAAATATAGATTAGAAAAGGATTTCAAGCTTTTAGGGTTTGTGCCAGAAGAAGCTGAGCAAATAACTAAAGGGATTTAATTTGCTGCCCTACAAAAGCTGCATTCCTTTAGATAAGGTTTAGCGAAAGCCAAAGTTTCTAAGGGCATTCCCTACTTTGGAAAGAGTTCATCTTATTCTTACTGTCTTTCTTTCTGTTTGCAACACAAGCAGAAAATACATTGAGAAAGGAAAGTTGGCAGGATACCTGATCACAGTGGGGATGTAAGGAGTCATTTCAGCATTCCCAATGACTTCTCGAAGAGGAAGATGCTGATGACTGCCACGTAAGCCATGCAACTGCACCACCTTCTGGACCCTGTCCAAAGTGGAACAGAGATGTGCTTCCTTAGGGTGACTTTCCTGCACACAGGTGAAGATATATGGTGCATCAGAATCCAGACAGGGACAGCAGGGAAGCAGGAAGAAAATGTTTACAGTAAATTCAAAAGCTCAATGTGCTGGTAAGGATTTTGCACTTGAGTAACAAAGAATAAATCAGTCGACCATTTTCTTAATAGGAAAAGAAATTACACACCCAGGAGCCACTATGGCATTCCTGAAACAACTGCTTCTACTTTAAACTAAGCTTCATTTAAATAAAGACACTTGACATAGTATTTCCGAAGGCAAACAAGGATCAAAGCAAGGATTTTGCTGTATGTTCAGCTGTTATTTGACTGGGCTATGTTTCTTTACAATGGCTTACTTTGTTAGGCTCTTGGTCATTGTAACTCATGAGGATGTATGGTATTTTCGAAGGAAATGCTAGTAAGCACTGTGTGTTCCAGCAGTCTGAATAATGGAAGCATGCATTTGTCAATATAATAGAGTTTGTAAGGCAGCTTGTTCCCTCAACTTGCCAGAAGCTGGTAACTGGGGCCATGCTGGGAAACATACAGCTGCGTGGGGCTGTCTTCTACTTTTATTTTCTGCCTTTTTTTTTTTTTAAGTACAGACATATTCAAAATGTAAAAAAAACAACAACAAACACCACCACAACACTAAAGTTAAACCAAAGCACAAACAACCAACCTCCCCCCCCACCCAACACATCCCATCAAGTAAAAATGCTGTAGCTGCCTTCCTATACTGGTGCAGGCCAGAGAGGAAGAAGGCAGCAATGGGTGTTCTGACTGTTCAAGGGGAAAGAAGAGCACACAGGTGGGAAGGAAACAGCAGATACCAGAGCATTGCTCAGCAGTGCTGACAGCTGACTCTGGCCCAGGTTGAGCCCTCTTTAGAAAGCTGCAGAGATTCTGAAGTAGTCTGTGGTATCTACATCCATTCTGACACCCTTACAGAATTCAAACGCCTTTAACAAACCTTTTAGGCAGGAATAAGCTTAGATCCTCCTGAAAGCTAACAGAGCTTGTGCTCCCCAGTTCCAGTGGGCAGCATTCTCCAAGTGCCATCAGTGATTTATGGCTTTAACCTCACAGTCTGGCAGCGCCACTCGGTCACATTTGCAGTTTTTTATGCTTAAGCAGTGCATGCACCAAGAGAAGCTCATGGGAGCCACAAGGACAGATAACCTGCCACTGACTTTGCCACCTTTGCTGAGAAGGACCTGGTCCAACCATGTCCTCATTGAGCAATGAGAGCTTTTTTCCTCTTTCTTGCAGAAGGGGGCACTTCTCCTTATATCTAAATTAGAAAACACATGCTCTGTCATTTCAATTGCAGTCATAACTTAGTGAGCTATTAAATATGAACCAGTTCACTGAGCAGAGAAACTAAAATGAAAAACAAATCTCCAAATTAGTAAAAAATAATAATTGTAATGCCTCAGGCAACATCTTTTTAACTCCCATCACATCGAACCCATCCAATTAGTTTCAAAACCACGCACCTGCTTTCTCCTTCTCTTTTCTCTTTCCTTTGGACTATGTACATCCTTCCAAAGCCAGGAAAAGCTACTCGGCACTGCTAAGACCACACCTGGAATATTGTTTTCACTTCTGGACTCACCAGAGGCAGTCTGACAAAATGGCATGTTGAATGGATGTGTGTATAAAGCAAAGATGTGGCACCAAATTCCTCCACGCTTAAGAAATGGCACCCACTGACACCTACTGAATGGTTATGGAGACCAAACAGTGGATGTGAGCACTGTGAGCCGTGGGTGTTGTGTTGCAGCAGCAGTGACAGCGATGTGAAAGATGCCACGTTCCAGATGGAGTGTAGATTTTTATGAGTGTGACATGCATGCCTATGGAAATAAGTAAGAGGCACTACTTTCAGAGCAAGCTACGTAT